GTTCTGAGCAGCAGATGTTGGATGTCGACCAGGTCTTGTGACCGTCCGCCGTTGAACAGCACGGCCGTGGTCAGGAACACCAGCCACGCCGGCAGGGAGTGTGGCACGGCAGAGGCGAGCAGTCGCATATCTTCGGAGCTTGCAGCTTAATCGTCCGAGCGGTGGCGATTGCGCAACACGGCTGTGAATGAAGACTCAAATCTGTAATGGTTAGTGCTACTTTAGATTTTGGGTCATTTAAACTGTAAAACCAGGTATCCTGGATCGTCAACGCCGTCGACATCCCAATCAGAGCAAGAACAGCCGCCGGCAACGCTGATGGCATTTGACAGCGTGCGAGCGAGCGAGCGAACGAGCGGGCCATCGGAAAGTTCCCCGGCAACAACATCGTCCAAAAGGATGCCCTATTGTCTGAAGAAAAAAGCCGGTGTCACACATTTTGCGGCGCGTGTTATCCGCTCCATGTACCTCGGTCGTTACGCAAGCCGTTCGGTGCCAAGTTCGAGTCTACGTCTGTGGCCTCCTGGCCTAGCCTCCTGGCCTCCCGGCCTCTTGCGTGCTACGGTGCACAGCAGAATCAGGACCTGCTCCGTCTACGACCGTCCAGGAGACCAAACGGGAGTCACTGACACAGTACATCGAGGGTGCGACTCTTACACCAGAAGTCGCCTCGTTCTGATTGCACTGTAGCGATAAAACGGGAAAGCTTTTAGGCCAGGTCCTGTTCTTCTCCATAGAACACATTGGTTGCAGCAAACTGAGAGTTAGCGGGGATTCTATTCTTTGAATCACCGGAAAAACTTGCTGTGCCAGAGTTGGGCTGGTATACAAACGACTCATTATACGATTAAGCCCTATTTCATCTAAGTCATTCCCACCGACTTCCTTCAATCGTACGATAGAGACTCACGATGCGTCATCACGTTGTCATTTGGCACAAGTGATTGTGTAATCATCAATTTGAGCCGTTTACGTAGGCAGTACCTCTCTGGCTTGTCAGTTTTACCACAACTCTTCTGTTACTGTATCGTTGAAGGAAATATTCCCTTCTGAATGCAGATTTACTATGTAATACATGTAGATGTTTCTCTACAATGCGTGGTCGACTCTTGGTGGACGACTGCAGTGTTTCAGATCCAACAAGAGTAGCTCGCGATCTGGAGAAAACGGCGTATCTTCAACCAGTTTGTCTACGACTAACAGCACTAACCTTCTGTTCATAGTCTCCTCACCTACGACGACCATCTGCTCCCGGAATAGGATACAATAGTTTGTTGCTGACCTCCTTGTGCGTCAATACCAATGTTGCTTTATGCAATTCAACTGTCGTTGTTAGTCATTCGTTATGGCAATTACTTTCATGTCGTGCTGCAACTCTAACCCATCCTGATTTTCGTGGAAAGAGTTCTCTTTCTCAGTTGTAATATTCGATCGCTAACCAAATGCACTGGAGGAGAAGCTTATCCTCCTTGTTTAATCTAATTGTATCGCTGGAAGTGATTGAATAGAAATACTTAACTCGGTCGACCTCCTCCGTTTTGTTGTATTAATATATCAGTCGTGCCTGATGGGTTTCTGATAACTCTGATCTTCTTGAAGTTGAAAAATGGGCCGGTTCCTACAGCTATGTTACATAAGGAAGCCGTGAGGTGGCAAAGCCCTGTCCCCGTAACAATCGTCAGCGCAATCTAGTCTTTGTAGTCCAGGTCAGCAAGATATGAACTGCGTCTTCCCTCGAAAATGCGAAAGCACATCGCCCTGGCTTACTTCACAGATTACAGGGTACCACTCAGATGGCTTTTCTCCACGGATTCGTAGGGTGGGTTCCATCAGAACATTCTTATCGTTCGTAGAATTTCTTCAAAACGCGTTACGAGCTCAGTCAGCCTTGAGTAGTCTCGTAAGCCGACTGTTTCAGAGTTAATGACTAGCCTTTGAGGCAGACTTAACGCTTCTAAGGCATGTACCTAACGTGTAACATAAACTGAATTTAAACTCGCAAGATGATCTGTGAACCATAGGTCGGTCACCATCTTCCAGCCGTTGCAGGGGTCATGAAGGTTTCAATAGCTTTTGTTTCTGCTATGGAGAACTCGGTACACCTATTTCGTGTCACCCTCTGATTTGTCACTCACTGGTCGTTACCTTTTCAGAATGTACCTCCAAAGTGTAAATTCAGCTTTTCAGTTTTTTGCATGGATTCTTCTCGTCGTTGGCATAATCGCCTTTGAAACGGTTCGCTTTCGGCAGTTTTCTTCACGGTTTCATGACCTGAGTTTTCCTCGGTTGGTTTTGTTCCGGGTTAGCAGCTCCTGCCCCACTTTGCAATGTCACAACAAGTCATACCATCGCACAGGTTAATTAATTAATTAATTAATTGATTAGCTAATTGTTAGCCGTCGCTGACCCTCAAGTTGAACGAGAAACAGACACCGATCAGGTGAAAACGATCCTCGATCTCCGTTGCACTTTCTCCGCCAGTCTGATCGTCACAGAACGAGTGCAGGGTAAATTGCAGGAAAGTGTGTGATCGCGATTGTGGAGCACGTTTGGAAGGTCGAAATCGAAAATATGCCAAAAGCCTGGACGGAAACGACAGGCGACATGAGTTTTTTCTCGACAACCGTTTCTTTCGCCTCTTAGATAGTGAATTTCAGGTCGACGACCTCATTTCGGTGTTTTGTTTCGAGGTGGCCTCAAAGCAAAAACCGCCTGAACCAATGCTCAGAAACGAGCCGACGGTCCGCTGTCGCGGAGGATCGGACGCCGTCCACCAGAGGGAGGATTTCGCCTCACAAAAACGTCGTTAAGTGGGCCTCTTTTTGCGTTGCCGCTCCACTTTTGCCGCCCGTTCGTTGCGCAATCGCCGCTGTCGCTTACCGGGCCTCGTCACGTAAAAATCTGGGGTAGCAGCCGTCGCGTGTTTAATGAGTCACGACCACGGGGTGCGGCTACCGGTCCGTTTCAGCAAGGGCAAATAATCCTCACTGGCGAACGACCAGCTGAGGACCAAAATCAGCTAGTCACACGCATTGACAACGACAGGTGAACATCATCTTCCAGCAACGCCGCTGTCTTCTATCCCTTCGACAAATTCCATGCCATTCACGAATAAAAGCACAAGCCTTGCAGTTCTGGAGTTGGTTTAAAGTTGGTTTAGCTGATTACGATGATTGGCACTGGCCGGCTTCTAAATATTACCATTCATCGTCGCATGTAGTTCCTCAGATATTTTTTTTGGTATCAGAGATCAGAACCCTACCAAGTTTCGATGATATTCAGTAAATGATTCTCGGATAAGAAATCTCGGATCTCGGAAAGCCCTTCCATGCATCAAGGTGACAGCCAAGAAATTTTCTACATTACACATTGGCAATGACCTCTTAACAAAATGCTTGACTGAACGCCATTCTGAGTGCGACGATTTACAGTAATGCACATAAACTCCGCAACTTGGAAGCTGATGACCAAATAGCTTAGAGAGTGACAAAAGATACTTCTTTACTTCATTCCGACGTTTCGGCTTCCGACATAAAGGCGATCACCGGAAACCTTTTTCAAAACACAAGAATGCAGTATACAATTCAATAATTAGATGAACCTCATTTTTCAGAGATATGACATTAATCTCTGACCTTCTTTCAATATCATATCTTTCCAAAATAAAAACACAGACGGCTTGTTGCACTGCTATGGAGATCAGCTTTGAAAGACGCCAACAAAACAGGGCCGTATTCAAACAACAGTTTCTCGTCCCTTCACCTCCTACTCTCTCACGCTGGTTGCGATCTGACCGTAGCTATATATTGCCAAAGCAAATGAAAGCACAGGACGCAGCCTTGGGGAAGAACAGTGCAAAAGTTGAAACTTATCCACTTAACACCATTTACTCTGACGCAGCACCTGCTATCATCATACGGTCACTGGATGGTTAGAAACTGTCCATCGAAATCACACCTCTGCAGGCAGGCATACAACTTGTTGCGCGGAATCGGATTATCGGCTTTCTCTACTCTAGCGAAGAACATTAACAGGATGGGCAAACTCCCACAACTTTACAACAGACTGGCGTGAGGCGAAGAATTGTTCAGAGATGCTTTGACCAGTCCGGATGAGACTCTGCTCCTCTCGGATCTTGGAGTCATCGCTTTCGCGGGCACTCTTTTTTAACATATTTGAAACCATGTCCTTTGTGAGCTCGTACCTTCGAGCTATGGTCGTTATGTTTGTGTTGTAATTTGGCAAGCAATCGTTTCTCGTTTTGCACGACATATCACCTCTTTGAAATAACCTCGCTGCTGTTTTGTTCCTACCGTAAAGAACTGAAAAGTGAACGAAGGTGCAGACAAAGTTTTATGCCTTGTTGAAACTCGATTGACCTGACAATTAAACGCCACATCTTGTGATGGAAGACCGTTGTGATTCAGTGCATGGAATCTGTTCATGAGTTGATAATCCACTGAAAACCGGCAGAAGAACCGCTTGATTGCGAACAGTGCACACTCTTGATCCAGAGCGTGTTAAACGACGGCAAACGTCTGAGTCCTTATCCCACAGGTCTTCAGTTAAAGGCAATGTATTTTATATTTGATGGCTTTCGTCGCAAGAACTGCGAACTCGAATCTTCCAAATATTTCTGAAGGAGGTCTGTGAGGCACGCGGACCAAAAGGACGGTAAGGGTTTGCCATCCAGTAAACGAATAAACCGCTTTTACCGTGATAAATTGGTCCTTTACGTAACGGCGCAGGAGGCTT